TGTTCCTGGTTTAGTATTAGCGAGTAAAATCGAAACTGTATTAATGGGTTGCGGTTATCCCTTTGTCCAAAAAGCAAACAGTGGATTTAACTAAATCCATATAAAGCTGTTTATCCCGTAAATGAATCCAGTCGATATTAACAGCCGTGTAATTGATATCTGGTGCAAGAGGCAAAAGTTATCATTGTTCAATATGCTTTTAGGCACCAGACACATTCGTCTGCTGCTCTGAAGATGGATCATTGATTTTTCAATAAAAGTGCAAAATTACTATTATTATGTTATACCTAAAAACTGCACAGGTTTATAGAAAATTAATTAAGAGTGGGTCAGAGTTCAGCAGGTCAGTAATAGGGCATGCTAGTTCCGGTAACGTATCCTACATAGATTGGCAAAGCCAGCAATCCCTTTAGCCATCTGATATTCTCGGGGGCCCAATATTACGGCTTAGCGATTCCGCGACTCCACGTTTCTCTTTGGGGCGGTGTTAGCACATTAGTATCGCCTAGCGAAGTCCAATTGTTTGCTATATTCCCATTTTGAAGCTTCCAATCAATTATGCAATCTAATATGTTCATGTGAAATATTGTCCCGGATTATGTTATGGATGTTTTGGATGGACCAGATAGTTACACCTCAATTGTAACATGATGTTATAATGTTGGCTAATATTTACCAATTTGTATGATGTAACTTTATTTCACCCCTAGTTAGCTTAATGTTGAAACAATGATTTAGTCGAATTGCCCAGATCTTCAGGGAGCTAAATTTCATCGAGACCTCTAAGGAAAATAAATTTCACTGGGTTTAAAACTAAGTTTATATTTAACGGCTGGATTATTAAACGACACAGTCGAGTAATTAAACGAAAATATCTGAAAGGTTTTACCATAATTAGTGTAAGGGAGCTTCGTTCTTGACGGAGATCGGAGATATCTTTATTTTTCTTTGGAGCATAGAAAAATTTTCTTTCAGTCCAATATTACATAAAACGATTGGATACAAATCAATTGGAAGAGGTGGAGCARAAATAGGCCGCCTCGATCTCCTGACCTAAACATTTGGAMCTTTTAACTAGTGAGCAGAAGCAAAGGGAKGAGTCCCAGTTAAGATGTGGATATATGATGCGATGAAGGAGCAAAGCTGATTACCTACCGCAAATTATAAGTTTGCTCAGAATGGCATACCACTCACTGGTAGTGTTCAAAACTACGAAACTCAGGCACAGCTGCTATTGATTAACCGTCTTTGAAATCAATACAAAATATGTTACAGCCCGAAATGTASCTCACTTATTATCGAAAGCAAATCAGATTCATRTATAGGTACCTACAATGCTATTGAATTACATTTATTAATCGAAATAGTTTGTCACTTGGAACAGTTGGTCCAGGTTCAACAATGATGTGCACTATTTATATA